ACAGTGCCCTACACTTAGAGGGATACCACGTGTAAGAAGATCAGTCACTGAGAGCCTCATTAATTAGGATTATTATTTCATCCAGTAAAATGAGCAAGAATGGAATTTTGTAGTTGTCCAATTATAATAATCGTAATACTTATCAAGTAAGAGCTGAATGGGAATTACAAAGCATTTCCCAAATTTTGGGCACCCTCTCACCTTTGTTTACATAATACAAAAATGTTTATATTTCATAGTAAAGGATACATCCAGCATTGAGATCATGAGTCTGCAAGTCTCTAAGTTGAAAGCTAAGTTAGAAAAAGGAAAAATAAGTTATATTAAAAGAAATGTTTAGACAAACTGAAAATCATTAAGTTGCTTTTCATTATATACACATATTATAATGTATAAAATACGATATAATTGCTTCCACTGTACACAGCTGTACCATATTTTGATTCAAATAAGAGCTTTTAATCATCATTGTTAGAAAAACTGACAGCAAGCAATCTGGAGACAATTCAAGTTATATTTAAAATTAATTTCCTCTTATCTCAATCGATAAAGGTTTTGGGTTTCTGTCAAAGTGTCTTTTATATTTCACAATAGACACCATGTAAGGAAGCTAGTTTTACTCTCATAAAGTTGATTTTGTAAATCGAACATGAGGTATCCTGACAGAGGAGTCCTGCCACAGAATTTTTTGGTCAGTATCAAAGCTCAATTTAAAAACAAAGCAAAACACCTTTGTAAGAATTGGCTGTCCACTACAAAACAAAACGCTTCTCCAACTCCACAGCTCAGCAGTGAGGAACTAAGGAGACCGAGAACGGAAGTCTTATACGCACAGAACTGAATGCACAGAATTTATGTTTCAAAGTAGTCCATATGGGAAGAAAGCCCTTCCATCATGCAAATAATATAAAAACCCCACAACTCTGCAGAAGGCACAACTACAAGCATTTTCTAGTAGACAGCATAAGAATTGGTATGCTTTAGTGTTGGGGTTTTTTTTATTTATTGAAATAATTAACTTACGTTTATACGCTCCTGCAATCCCTGACTGGGTGAGACATCTCTGTAGCTCATCAGCATCTATTTGTCCATCCTTTCGATAACAGAAGATGTATCAGCTATTTTTTAATCCCCTCTCCCAGGCTGGTTATTCCCAGTACCCACTCCCTTTTCAGTGGCATTAAATTAGTTACCCCTTCAAAAAACCCATTACTTGTCTGCTATATGACAGAAACTTTTATAACCCATATCTGTAATGATGTTTCTTCAGGTGATATTTTTGCAATATGTATTAGCTTTCCCATCCAGTGATGTACTAAAAAATGAACAGGATTGTCAGGTTTGCTCTAAACTTAACTTTTAAAAAAACCCAAACAAACCCACAACAAATATTGTTAGCATATACTTGAGAGATAGCTGTATAGAAACCAAGGTGCAAAATTCTGAACAGAAAAGCAGCTTTCCTTAAAGTACTAATTTTAACTTAGTGTGTCTTGTCGTCACTGGTTTATACGTTTATGATCTCACTGCTATAGTAGGAAACCTAGAAACCAGATCATACATAACCTCTTCTCAAGACAGCCTTAAGACTTACAAATCTAAAAAACCCTGTTTTTTGGGGGAATGGTAAGTCGTTAGCAGAACAAACAAAAGCAGAAAGCAAAGCGAAGAACTCTGAAAGACAAACAAAACAAACCCAGAAAAGATACCTATCTGCATGGTTTGGAAAATGACTGGCTTCCAATACACCCTGCTGAGGGTCAAACAGAGAAAGCAACTGCCAATTCATGGAAAGCAATGAGCTGTCAAAAGTGGAGCTGGAATTCTAGGTCACATTGCTCACACACCCAACATGAGGTTCAGTTCAAAGGGAGTTTGAGTCTAATTTAACCTCACTCAAGGATGGAACATTATATCTGTAGATATAAAAAATAATGTGACTTTTGTAAAGCATTAAACAGGGAAAAGACAGTTTCTTTCTATTTGAAACAAGTTTATTTGCCTCAGTATTTTCCTGATGTTTGTAAATCCAGCAAGCATTTATTTTCTTCTTTTTTTTTTTTTAAGAACAGAGATACACTACTAAATGGCATGGCAGAACGGCACAGCCTTGTAACTTTCAGAAATGAAGTACCATTATTTATGTACAAATACTGTACAAATGTGACAAATATATTAAACAATATTTGACAAGGTCTGAAAAAAAAAGAGCAAGAACGTTTTGAATCTATGTAAAATTAATGGTAGCTAAACCCCAAACTGCTTCAAATCTACACCATCAGTCTAACTATGCAGATGCATTTAAAACTTTACATTCACAAGAAAATTTTAAAAAATTACATTTGAATTAGCCATGCATATTAAGCGGCAAGTCTCCTCAAAGCCCTTGTCCCTTCTGAAACAAAGGCAGGATCTGCATAACTTTAAAATAGGCAGGAAGACAGAGAACCATGATTTGTAATCAGGATTAACATTACCAAAAAGATGCTTGGCTTTTTTTTTTTTTTATGTAGAACGTAAGCAGTTAAACTAGACAAGGCATAGGGGCTTTGCAAACAGACTAAAAAAGAAAATTACTACTTCCTACAAAGACAGACTCAATTAATTTAATAAAGATTTGAAACAATATTTTTTACTTTCTTCTGTAAACAAAAGTGACTAATTCCTCAAATCTAAAACAAGATCTCTGTTGTAAACTACTTCAAAGAAAGCTCAGAGGTAACACTGTATATTATATAGGCATAAAAACAACACAGAGAGCAGGAAACCATGACCAAAAACTTTACTAATTCTACAGTAAGTACTTATGGAAAACAGTGAAATGCAGCTTTTCACAGACTTGCACGGATGGCTGTAGAAGCAACTAATAATGTATCTGTTCTATATCACTGCCTCCTTACAGGGTTTTTACTTCTGCACAGCCACTGCTCTCTGAAACTGACTCTTCCAATTCCAAGGATAACATTTCAAAAGCTACCTAGTTTATTTCAATAAGGAATGATTTCTACAAGAAGAAGTATTTAAGAGTACTAACTTAAGTATTCTTAAGTGCTAACTTGATCATACCCATTAACTCACCTGTTCCCCAGCTTTCAGTAATGGTGTCTCACTTGAGAAGCATGGGGACAGTCTATGCTTTGCTGAGGTTCAGCTCCTGCCACCTCTTCTCCACAGGGCTATATCCTGTTTGCTGTTACCTCCCTTTCTCTTTACACTAGGAACTTACTCATTTTTCCATGGTCAGTTAGTGGCTCCACTGCTGATCCCTGGCACACAGCCAGGTGGCACCTGCATGCAGAGGCATCTCAACTGGCAGGTAAATTGTCAGCACATTCAGCAGGCTCCACCTTACCAGAGAGGAGTGCCTCATTACACACAGATTGTTCCTGTGTTCTCCTTTAGTACAAAAATAGATGGTCTACATGTTTTTATAAGCAATGTTAAAGAAGTAACATATCAACTGAAAGAATAACATAGAGAACAAAAATAATGCCAATACAGTCTTAAACTGGGAAGTGGAACATCAGCTAAGTTTGCTGAACTCAAACTTTCATGTTGTGGCTATCTGTACCTGGGGATAACATAACCAGGAACAGAGTTTCAGATTTGCACACACCCTAGGAGTGTGCAGTAAATAGCTATACACATTGCTGACAAAGACATAACATCAGCTCAATAAACCTAGCTTATTTATGCCTGAACTTTGTCATACAGTTCAAGAAATACTTATTTCTAGTAACATCCATAATCAAACAAAAACAAGATATGCCACAAAATTACAGGAAAGAAAAAAGCAGTGCAGAATGACAGGGAGGAAAAAAGAAAGGCCTAAATGAAAGTTGTGAATGGCTTCTCCTCTAGAAGAATAATCACTCTATCCTACCAGCAAACCCAGATATTGGCACAACTCAAGACTGCTATTCCATTTGTGAGTCTATTAAGTCTATTAAGATATGTGATCTCTTTCTTATAAGCATTTCCTGCTCTTAGCCAGGCCATCTCCACAGCCCATACTGCCCATCTGGCTCTTCTCCTGAAACTGACAGCACTCCCCAACCCAGAGCTGAGCCACAATTCGGTTACAACATTTCATATAACTATATAGTCTCTATATATACTTATATAGGAAATAGAGCATGTACATGCATACATGTCTGTATGTATGTATGCATTCACACACACATACTATATAGAAACTAACAGCATTATTTGAACTGTATAGTTACTGTGTGCATATAGCTGTATGGTATAGCTACACAGCTATACACAGCAGATAGACTAAGCAAGACCATTTTTTTTTTTTCAAACTTGAAACAACAGTTCTCCTCACTGCAAATATTAGGCATTCCACTTTCCAAAAGCTAATGTAGAAATTAGTCCCCAGAAAAAAATAAATCCAAGAAATAAGTAACTTTTTATAAGTTTACCTGTCCTGCAACTGCAGCAAAATAACCATATAAAGGATCCTGAGCTTGTCCAGGGAATGCTGGTCCTCCTGGAGCTCCTCCATACTTTAGAAAACAAGAAGAAAATTATTTTTTAATCAATGATTCAATTAACTGTTAAGAAACTGCAGTGTTTGTACTTAAGAATCAACTTGTGTTTCTATATACACACTGTGCAAAAAAGTCATACCAACCAAAAAAGAAAATCCTTAAAAAAAAAAAAAAAAAGACACTATCTTGGTGTAGGTATACTCATTTATTATAATTTAAGCAGATGAGTGTAAAATCTTGCACAGGAGCAATCCGTTGATCTAGACTCAGTATGTTGTATCTCATCAAGGTTGAATTGTAGTCTACTACTAGCAGAAAATGGGGTACTGAAGATAAGACTACTAAAGCACCACAGATTTTTCTTTCCACTTCATAAAAGTTGAGCAAGATCTGTAGGGTTTTTTTGGAAAATACTTGGAAGAATACGCACTAAGCATGGAAATTTTTAACTAAAACCGGTTCTTAACTGAAAATCGTGGAATGACAGAAATTAATCCTATTTGACAGAGTTGAACCAATAATCTGTGTAACAGAGTCTATACCCATCTTTTGCCAAGACAAGAACATGCCTTTTTTGGAGACGGCCAGAGTGTGAGCAAGTGTACCTTGCTCTTCGAAGCCACTTGGCTATTTATCGGCCCCACGAGGCCAAGACAACTTTACACAATGT